TGAGGGGCAGTCAACATGGCTTCACCAAGGGGAAATCATGCTTGACCAATCTCTTAGCCTTTTATGAGGAAATAACACGGTGGATGGATGATGGCAGAGCGGTGGATGTGGTCTACCTTGACTTCAGCAAAGCATTTGACACAGCCTCCCACAGCATCCTCACAGCTAAATTGAGGAAGTGTGGTCTGGATGATCAGGTAGTGAGGTGGACTGTGAACTGGCTGAAGGAGAGAAGCCAGAGAGTTGTAGTCTATGGGGCGGAGTCTAGTTGGAGGCCTGTAACTAGTGGAGTGCCTCAAGGATCAGTACTGGGACCAGTATTATTTAATATATTCATCAACGATTTAGATGAGGGAATTGAGTGTACTATCAGCAAGTTTGCTGATGACACTAAGCTGGGAGGAGTGGCTGACACACCAGAAGGCTGTGCTGCCATCCAGCGAGACCTGGACAGGCTGGAGAGTTGGGCAGGGAATAACTTGATGAAATATAACAAGGGAAAGTGTAGAGTCCTGCATCTGGGCAGGAACAACCCCAGGTTCCAGTATAGGTTGGGGAACGACCTGTTAGAGAGCAGTGTAGGGGAGAGGGACCTGGGGGTCCTAGTGGACGACAGGATGACCATAAGCCAACACTGTGCCCTTGTGGCTAAGAAGGCCAATGGCATCCTGGGGTGTATTAGAAGGGCGGTGGTTAGTAGGTCAAGAGAGGTTCTCCTTCCCCTCTACTCTGCCCTGGTGAGACCGCATCTGGAATATTGTGTCCAGTTCTGGGCCCCTCAGTTCAAGAAGGACAGGGACCTGCTGGAGAGAGTCCAGTGCAGGGCAATGAAGATGATTAAGGGAGTGGAGCATCTCCCTTATGAGGAAAGACTGAGGGAGCTGGGTCTCTATAGTTTGGAGAAGAGGAGACTGAGGGGTGATCTTATGAGTGTATATAAATATATGAAGGGGGAGTGTCACGAGGATGGAGCCAGGCTCTACTCAGTGGCAAACAATGATAGGACAAGGGGTAATGTCCCTGGAGACATTCAAAACTCGCCTGGACACATTCCTGTGTAACATTATCTAGGTGTTCCTGCTCTGGCAGGGGGATTGGACTAGATGATCTTTTGAGGTCCCTTCCAATCTCTAGCATACTGTGATACTGTGAAAAGTGTTTGGATGGCATCTGAACTACTATTAAAAAGCTCAAAAGCATGTTCCACAATTTTAAATGTTGCTAAGTATTGCATACTTACTGAACACAGAAGAAAAGAAGGAAAACATGGTCAGGAGTTGATAGCTGAACTTGATTACAAACTTTCAGATAGCATTCAGAGAAGAAGGTGCTATCTGCACACTTCACACCGTGTCACATAGGAGGCAAGTTACCCCCACTTCTACCAGGGGTCAGGTTATTGCTGCCAAGTGTGCATGCTGCTGGATCAATACTCCAGTTTACTTCATGCACTACTTTGGGCTTGATAATGCAATCAAGATATTTAAAAAAGTTTATTAACAATTGTCGTGGTTTAAACCCAGTCAGGTAACTCGTTCGCTCACTCCCCACCTTCTTTCCCTCCCCCTACTCCCAGAGGGACAGAGAGGAGAATCGAGAAGAATGCAACTCCCACAGGTTGAGATAAGAACAGTTTAGTAACTAAGGTATAACACAGATCACTACTGCTACCACCAATAATAACAATGATAAAGGAAATAACAAGGGAAGAGAATACATGACCTCACCATCAGAAAACTGATAACTCACCCCCCCAACCCGACCAAGCACCGACCGATACCTCCTACAACCCCGCAGTCTCCCAGCCCTTCCGGCTAACTCCCAGTTACATCCTGGGCATGACGTGCTGTGGTATGGAATACCTCTTTGGCTAGCTTGAGTCAGGTGTCCTGTCTCTGCTTCCTCCCGGCTTCCCCTCCTCCCTGGCAGAGCATGAGACTCACAAAGTCCTTGGCCAAACCAAAACATCGCTATCAGCTCTGTTCCCAGGCCGAAAGTCAAAACACAGCACTGCACCAGCTACCAAGAAGGAGAAAAATGACTGCTACTGCTGAACCCAGGACAACAATATACTACTACATAGAATATGTAATAGATATTAATTGCAATTTATATAGTTAACTATGACAACTGACGTAGTCACTTTTGGCATCTGCCATAAACTATGTAAGAAACAGTGGATCTTCTTGCATTTTATTTTTATTAATAAAACATAAAAGTCAACTTAGCTCCCCTACTTTATAAGCATCAAATTATAAAATATTACATGGCAGATAGAAATATTTTAATATACTGAAGATGCATACCTTCACAGCATCTATGGAACAGGCTACAACTGCTAAGTAATTGAACATTTCACTGAGGATACAGCTGCCAGTGCAGCCATTTCCACTAACTCAATAGTCAGAATATATTTTTGGCAGCAAATGTATACAGTTTAATAATTTAATTTAGTTTACTTGTGAATAGGTGTAGAGTCTATCTTCTGCCTATTTGCCCATTTTATAATTAGAGAAGTTCTTCAGTGCCAACTTTAAATTCTGACATTTAAAAAATACTTTTATTTCTTAATGCAAACAGTAAAATTTTTATTCAGTTCTGCTCAGTTCCCCCCACTACAACAGGAAGCAAACTTAATATCTACTTTTGTAACTAATATAGTCATACTACAGAAGAACCATAGATCCACACCCCATCTGGCCTCATGCCTATATGTTCATGTGCTTTTACCCTTCAGTACTGCTCACCATTAACAAACTATGTTAGCCTGTGAGCTGACAAAAACGGCAAGTTCAGACTGCTGAGTAATCTACATAATTATAATCTAATTCAAACCCACACAATTAAGAAAAAAAAAGTTATTCTTTTAGTTAGAATGAAAAGATTCTAGCAACAGACTGAACACCTTTTACCAAGAGATGAACAAAATGCAACATAATTAAAGAAAACCCAAAAAACAGCTACAAGGGGGCTCGAGCACCTCCCATATGAAGACAAGCTGAGAAAGTTGGGGCTGTTCAACCTGGAGAAGAGAACGCTGCATGGAGACCTCATAGCAGCCTTCCAGGATCTGAAGGGGGCCTACAAGAATGCTGGAGAAGGACTCTTCATCAGGGACTGTAGTGACAGGAAAGGGGTAATGGGTTTAAAGTAAAACGGGAAGTTCAGGTTAGATATAAACTATCTTTACTGTGAGGGTGGTGAGGCACTGGAACAGGTTGCCCACAGAAATGGTAAAGGTCCCATCCCTGGCGGTGTTCAAGGCCAGGTTGAACAGAGTCTTGGGTGACATGGTTTAGTGCAAGATATCCCTGCCCATGGCAAGAGGGTTGGAACTAGATGATCTTAAGGTCCTTCCCAACCCTAACTATTCTATGATTCTATGACAGTAAACGTATCTGTCAACACAGTATTTGCATATCTAGTAAAACAGAATTTTCCATCTAGCAGTTTTGAGTCTTTACTGTTAAAGATCATGTTCATAAACAGATGTGGAAGGATGATAAATAAATAAATAAATAAAACCCAACACACAGGAATACATTCAGCAGTAAACCTAAGATGTTCATTGTTAGAATTCAGATGGACACTGAAATCTGTTTGCATCCATAAGAAGCTACCCTTCAGGAAACTCTTAAAGCTATTATTTGCTTGTTTTAAGGAAGTTTCACTGTACCCTGAAAGTATTTTATTTTGCTTTGCTTACTTTGGGGGAGGAGGTGGGGGAATTTCAAAACCATTAATATTTTCTGAGCCATTCTTTCTAAAATTAAAAATACAGAATGAAAACAAGCACTTTGCAAGGATGAATTTGCAATAAGAACATTCTATTTTGTCATTAACTTTCAGTATTTAAGTTTGCCTTTTTAAAATTAAAGTATGTGGAGGATCCTACCCTACCCCCTGGCCCCCACTTTAAGAAAGAGGAATTGCTTCATCCACTACATCCTTGAAGAGCAAATCTTAAGCACTGCCTGCAGACAGAATGGTACTATTTTAATCAGTTATTTAATAATCAATACAGAACAGCATGGAAACACTAACATTTAAACCTATAATATAGCTTTTATACAGATAACTGTGCTTTACAGACATTAATCAGATATAGTTTTCTTACAAAATGTCTACATAAAATATGCCCGCAGCTCCCAGTACCTCCTTACCCCTTATTTTTAAAACCTAGTAGAGCAAGGAAAGGTTCAGGAATCAAATAGACAACTTGAACAAGTAATCATAGCATCCATCCATCCATCCAACAGCAATGCTGCTTAAGGAGTTCTCATTTCTACTCCACACACCGCTATACAGTTGGAAAGATCACAGAACTGTTCCATCTAAAAGGTAACAGAATGGGAAAGAGGGTGAATTTTCCTCCCCAGAGTGAAATAGTTCCCTCTTCTGAGCCTCCACAAATCCTCCTGCTAGCACATGAAAGGACTACAAAAGGAAAAGATCTAGTTAACTCAGCACCATGATGGTGGAAATGCCCTTGGAACTACAGCCCAGCAATCAATTCTTTCTGGATGATTTTCAGTATGGCATGCAAATTTTTTCTCAATTCTATTTCTAGAATTCTATCAGCCCAAAGAAGCAAGTAAAACCAAAAGCAAATAAGCTCTCTACTTTTTTCTGCAGTCTCACAGTTTTACAAACTCATGAATTTCTTTAGCTATATTAAAAATGTTAACTGCTCAGACCGAACAGCAAAGAGCACAGAAAATCTGCAGACATTTGATTCAGCTGGGCTCTGTGTATGTATGCAAACAAACTATCTTTAAATAAAACTAATCTGATGTTACAAGGCATCTATTGTATTCTTAAAAGAAAAAGATGGATGTTCGGTGTCTCAAATTGGTTTTCCTAATTATATCACCTACCTGCCTAGAAGTAGTTTTCCTTAAGAAGTCTTAATACATCACTGAAATACAAGCACATTTACATGTCTATTTAAGATGCACAGGAGGCGACAAATGGGAGAGAAGGACTTTTTAATCACTTACCGAAATAGAGGAGTATGACCAGGCTTTGGTTTGCTCCAAGTAAAATGTGAAGGAACAGAAAGAAATTGCTCTCCAGGCAAATCTTTTTTCAAGGTGTGCTGAGATCCAGAGCAGTCATCTACTGCAGTTTCAAGGGATGATGGTAAGTTACCCTGTTCTTCAGAACAGATAGCTATTTTTCCAGATAAAGTGACAGTCTGATCCTCTGAGGTCTTTCTTGTTTTTAGAGGAATATCAGTTTCCGTACAACACTGAAATGGTGAAAGGCCAGAATTAAGGCCTTGTATGTTATGGATGGAAGTGTTTAGCCAGGTGTCTTCTGTTATGCTTCCTCTGGGAGAATGGCCAGGTGATGGAGTTGGAGAATGGTGAGGGGAGAGAGAACCAGCATAGCAAATCTCAGCACTAGAGTGTCGTCGCTTCCCACAGGGGGATGTAGGTCTTGATGAGGGCCTTGATGTTGGTCTAGGACTTAGCCAATTTTCATCTGTAATACTAGTTCTAGGAGAATGACAGGGAGACTGCCTAGGTGACAAGGCATGCCCAAATCCATATGGCTGCTGTCCAGATTCATCACTGGGGCCTCTTGGAGAACCACCAGGGGATGCCAAAGGAGAGCCCAGGGTAATTTGAGTAGCCGCTTCATTTAGCTCTGAGTCTACATCATCATAAACGTGGGAAATGGATTCACAAGAGGAAGCATCTGAAAACCAACTTCTGGATGAAATGCTGCTGGCAGGACTTGGACTAAGGGATGATTCCCTATATGATGGTTCAAGAGGAAGATAGAGATGGTCCCGTGAAGGCCTTTCCATATACTCATTTTCTGTGTTATTTGCGTGCAATTCATCTTCATTGGCTTCAATCCCTTGATGACAGTTAGGTGAAATAGATGTAATTTGAATACTAGGGCACTCAAAGGGTTTGGATCCACCTAGCGGATTATATTTGGATTCTGGTACCTCACCAGTTGCTTCATAGTTCTTATGACTCTGAAGTCTTGGTGGTGGTGAAAGAGGAGAGAAGTGAGACTGCAATCCATGGCAAGGAATACAAATTGGCTGATTTACAGGGGATGATGGTTGGTCTACATTAAAGATGTCTATGGATGCACAGTCATCTGACTCAAGATCTGAAAACAACATTAAAAAAAAAAAAAGGAACAGTCAGAATGCAACACTTGTAAAAACGCCATAAACAAACCCCTTTGTTTCACAGATACGGTCTGTTTTCAACATTCTAGGCATTTCCCATCACATTACCCACACAAAATAAAGCTAATGCTTGATTTTAAAATTTCCCCAACCATATTTACAGCTGAATAGGACTACAGCGTAGCTTTGTGTCACAAACCTTGTTTTCAATCAGATTCCATAGTTTATACACATCTTCAGTTGCTGAAAATATAAAATACTCAGAAAATGGGTTTAAAATCTTGAAAGTATCTAAGGCAGAACACTCAATTCAAACTTTCTATATCATAACTACATTCCATTCATAAACATTTTTAATCATAATTAAAAATATATTGGACATGAACCATACTATGATACTTTCTGCAAGCCCACTAGGCAATACTTAAAGGAGATAAAAGCACCAGAATTTAACACCAGAAAGCATCTTACAGTGACTCAAACTTCAATGAAGACTACAAACAACTAAAAATATTCAAGAGACCTAACAAAGATTATTAAAGATATTACAAAGAATATTTTTGTTGTTGCTTAGAAACTCTCAAGTGTCCATCCCATAGAATATAATTTTTCAAGTGCAGTTTCACGAAGTTTGAGCACGATTTGTTCAGCAAAACAAAACAAAAGCTCCAAAAAATATTATCAGATCCCATTAACTTATCCAGAACACAGGAAATATTCTAAAGAAAAACAAGCAACTGAGAGGGAAGAGGGAGTGCAAGTCCAGTTAATGCAATCAGCAGCTTTGTCTCACAGAACCAAAGCAGGTTTTCTTGCCCCACTTCTCAATACTGAATTAACTGCTAGTATGAGACATTTGTCTGTTGCAGAGTCCTACTTTGTGTGCATCAATATTCAAGAAATCTTAAAATACTTAAGTTGTCAACTTTCAATTTCAGTGGAATTTACAAAATGCAGATATATGTTCAAAATTTAAGTTTCACAGAGTTGAGGTAGAGAGATCAGACTAGCACAGAATTATCAACAGCAGATGGGAAGAGCTGAGGAAGAAGTGGAGAAGGCAGGAGAGCACTCTTCTGTCTCAGGCTTCTTTGGTCCCTCTCCACAACAAACAATGTCTAATGAGCTCGGCACTGTGCTCTCCTCATTACCCTTCCCCAGCAGCACACATGCACACACTCAAACAGGAAGCTAGAGACCTAGGGTAAGAACTATGCATCTAACAAACACCAAATCCCAAAAGCATGCTTAAGACTGTAGAAACAATGTATTTGGAAGTCTAAATCATATGAACCATTTTTAGACATGATCATTAAACAGATAGCTTTATTTCAGTTTGCACACACAACCCCCACCCCCCCCCTTCTTAGAGTGATGTGTTAAAATAACCTGTCAGTTGATCATGAAAAGGGCAACACTAACTACTATGACCTTTACAAATCATGTCATTAATTCTATTAGACCGTTCACCAATAATTATGTTTGCCCTGCAGAGAGAATCATAGAATAGTTAGGGTTGGAAAGGACCTTAAGATCATCAAGTTCCAACCCCCCTGCCATGGGCAGGGACATCTCACACTAAACGATGCCACACAAGGCTTCATCCAACCTGGCCTTGAACACTGCCAGGGATGGAGCATTCACAACCTCCCTGGGCAACCCATTCCAGTGCCTCACCACCCTAACAATAAAGAAATTCCTCCTTATATCCAATCTAAACTTCCCCCGTTTAAGTTTTAACCCCTTACCCCTTGTCCTGTCACTACAGCCCCGAATGAATAGTCCATCCCCAGCATCCCTATAGCCCCCCCTTCAGATACTGGAAGGCTGCTATAAGGTCTCTACACAGCCTTCTCTTATCCAGGCTGAACAGCCCCAACTTTCTCAGCCTATCATCTTCGTATGGGAGGTGCTCCAGTCCCCGATCATCCTCATGGCCCTCCTCTGGACTTGTTCCAACAGTTCTGTGTCCTTTTTATGCTGAGGACACCAGAAATGTACACAATACTCCAGGTGAGGTCTCATGAGAGCAGAGGAGAGGGGCAGGATTATCTCCTTCGACCTTTTGATGCAGCCCAGGATATGGTTGGCTTTCTGGGCTGCTGGCTCATGTTCATTTTCTCATCAACCAACACCCCCAAGTCCTTCTCCACAGGGCTGCTCTGAATCTGGAAGAGCACTAAAATTTGAAGGAAGTAGTAAACATAGAAAGATGAATGTAACTTGGGCAAAAGAAATGAGAAAAAGGGGGGGGGGGGGAGAAAAACAACTACCAAAAAAAACCAAACCCAACCTAGCCAATAACACTTAAGATGGAAAGGAGTGACAATGGCTCAAAAAGCTCCAACACAGGTCTTCAAGAACGCAGAGAGTAAACAAATTCAGGCAAGTCTCACAATAGGCAAGTGCCAGGCAAAGAAAGTTATGGAGAAGCCAAAGGGAAAAAATTGAGTTATGGAAATCTGGTTACTTAATAGGAGGGCCATTATATCCAAACCATCCTACTGGGTGAGCAAAGGAAATAAAGAAGTGGAGTTGGCCAAGTCATGAGGCCTTTACTGCCCATAAAAATATAAGAAGCATTCAAGAAACAAATACTAGGTCAGATTACTAAGGCAGAGCATAAAAGCCACCACAAGCACACAACAAAATACAAAGACCAAGAGAAGCAGTGCCATTCACATCAAAAGCCTGCCATGACTCTGAAAAGGCAGGTGTGTTAAATGCTTTTCCTTTAGTAAAGTCAACTGAGTAAATTGTTTACAAAGTTAATAGCAATGGAAAGTGAAGAAGACTAAATAAAAGGTTAAAAAGTACTGAAAAATTATGGGCCAGTAAGTTTAACTTCAGGTTTAGAAGTAACATTAATAGGCTATTTGTTCCAGTAAGCATTTAAAAGGAGACAAGGAAACAAAACAAGTCAATGTTTGCCAAGAACAAAACCATGTCAAACAAATTTTGTTTTACTATCAAAGGAGGTCTTCTGGATAGCTAGCACAGGAAGCAACTCAAGCTTTGCTTTAACTTTGGACTTTTAACACTACCACGCACTGGTAGTATCCACTGAGTCTTCAGAAATTTAGTGAAGCCTTCTTCCCCACCCTGCTGAGATCAGGTTTACTGCTGAGGGGTCATGAAGTCAGCAGATGCTCTATATTCACAAAGTGCTTATAAACTATATAAAGCTGTAGACCTTACATCAGACATCTGTATCATCCTTAATCCATGAGAAGCAGGAGGTCTGTCATTTTGAATGTACATTTGCTACAGTCAGGAAAGACTAGTTTACAGAAGCTCCTGTTCAGTATTAAAAACAACACTGGCTCATAGCTTACTAAGCTGCTAACTACACTTCAACATAAGCTGTCTAACTGGAGAATATAATTAAATAATACCCAGAACAACTGCGCCTAAAGTACATTCTGCTCACTATTTGCCATATCAGACTGTACATTCGGGACTTGGAATGCTTGCCCACCAGTTGTTCACTCCTAAAGGATCGATGTACTGGCACATGCACATGTGCAACTGTTCAGTGAGCCAGACTTCTCTACAGAAGGAAGGTCAATTACTATCAAATGTCTGAATATGAGCCCTGTGCCAAAATTATCCAAAATATTATTCTAGGTTTGTGAGCCCATAAGCAAACAGGTTCAGACAATAGGAGTTGTTATAAGGTACTAAGAAAGTGCAACACGACCTAGGTCTTATAAAAATATTACTGTGAAAACAGTATCAATCAAGTCCTTTAAATAGCATGAGGAAAGACTTGACCATTGCCACAGACATCATGTGTATTCGCAGGCAAATCATTTAATCTGTCTCCACTCCCAACCTTAGGAGAATTACAACCTCTTGTTTTTCAGCTGTCATGACAGAAATACCTGTAAATAAGAACAAAAAGCATATGCAGCTCAATTTTTTAATTCTAGTATCCTACTGATTTGCAGCAGTTCATATACTTCTGGGGATGAAAGAGGAGTCTTAATCTTCACAAAGAACCCAAAATCACAGTATCACAGTATGCTAGAGATTGGAAGGGACCTCGAAAGATCATCTAGTCCAATCCCCCTGCCGGAGCAGGAACACCTAGATAATGTTACACAGGAATGCGTCCAGGCGGGTTTTGAATGTCTCCAGGGAAGGAGACTCCACAACCTCCCTGGGCAGCCTGTTCCAGTGTTCCGTCACCCTCACCGAGAAGAAGTTTCTTCTCAAGTTTAAGTGGAACCTCTTGTGTTCCAGTTTGTACCCATTACCCCTTGTCCTATCATTGTTTGCCACTGAGTAGAGCCTGGCTCCATCCTCGTGACACTCCCCCTTTATATATTTATATACACTAATAAGGTCACCCCTCAGTCTCCTCTTCTCCAAACTATAGAGACCCAGCTCCCTCATTCTTTCCTCATAAGGGAGATGCTCCACTCCCTTAATCATCTTCATTGCCCTGCACTGGACTCTCTCCAGCAGGTCCCTGTCCTTCTTGAACTGAGGGGCCCAGAACTGGACACAATATTCCAGATGCGGTCTCACCAGGGCAGAGTAGAGGGGAAGGAGGACCTCTCTCGACCTACTAACCACCGCCCTTCTAATACACCCCAGGATGCCATTGGCCTTCTTAGCCACAAGGGCAGTGTTGGCTCATGGTCATCCTGTCGTCCACTAGGACCAAAATACCCAATAGTCATAGCTTTCCTTTTATGTATTTAAAAAGGCAACTGATGAGAATTCTTCCTGGTATGCTACCACATTAAAGCTCTCTAACTGCATATTTGAACTCCAGTTTTTCCATTGCTAGCTGTAAGCTCTCCAGAGACACTTCCTACAAGCTTAAACAGCAACTTAAAACACACATAAACCACAGCTATGCATTAGTTTATAAGAGTATAACTGGCTAGTAAGCCACCAAATATGATACTAAAAAAGTATAAATTGTGACAGCAATTTAGGTAGCAAGGTGGAACAGGAAAACACAACT